TGCAAGAGGAGGAGATGGAAAAGATGGAAGTGGAAAGAGCTAGTTCTAGATTGGGGCAAGATCAAGGAATGTGGAGGGTCCTACCCAGCAGCAACACCAAGTCTCTGAAATTAGAATTGCAGGATTGTCCAGGGAGCAGAATCCTTCTACATTTAGCTGCCTGAAACTTCACCGAGATCTTCATATTTGGACTTTGGGAACATATTTACAAGTACATCCCCTGCTTGGATTGCCAGACCTCTCCCACATATAGATGGGACTATAATCCCAGCTCTGCCACCCCTACACAGTCGGAAAAAAACACCAAAACAGATATCAGTGATATGGATTTGATATTGTGATATAATAAGAAATATATATTTGGTTTTCCTCCTCCAGTTTTGGCACAGCGGGTCCCAGCACAGAGCTCCTAAAACCCTGAGAATTTCCTAAGTGAGCCAGGTGCAGTGGCACATGCCTGTAGTCCCAGTTTCTCAGGAGGCTGAGGTGGGAGGATTGCACCTGTGAATAGCCACTGCACCGAAGACTGGGCAACATAGTGAGACCTCATCTCTAGAAACACATTTTTTAATTAAAAAAAATTTTTAAAGAAATTCTTGAGTGTTAAGAGGAGGAGCATCTTTTATAATTTGTAATAAGCCCCTTTCAACCTTACCTGTGTTTATGTTAATGACTTGACTCTTCAAGGATGAAAGCATGGTTGCCAGAGAAACCAACCTTGTGATTAGAGGTTTGGAACTTTCAGCCCTCCCACCCCCCACCAGCCCTTCAGGAAAGGCCGAGAGACTGGAGATTGACTTAATCAACAACGGTCAATGATTGAATCAACCATGCCTACATAATAATGCCTCCATAAGCACCTTAAACATGGGGCTTGAGATTCAGAGAGCTTTAGGTGAACACATGGAGGTGCTGGGAGGGTGGCACACCAGGGAGGGCATGGATGTCCCATGCACCCCTCATTCCCATACTTTGTTTTATGCATCTCTTGCATTTGGTTGTTCCTGAGTTGCATCCTTTATAATAAACCAGTAACAGTAAGCAAAGCAGTTTCCTGAGTTCTATGAGCCATTCTAGAAATTACTGAACCTGATGGTTCCCATGAGGCATGGGGAAGCCCTGATATACAGCCAGTTTGCCAGAAGAATAGGTCACAATTTGAGATTTGCAATTCATGTGAGGTCTGGATAGCGAGTGTCACAATTGGATTGGTAGGACACCCAGCTGGTGTCCAGAGTTGGATAATTGCCTAATAGAAGGAAAAAACTCAAACATTTGGTGTCAGAAGTGCTGAATATTTTTCAAAATGAGTTTTTTATTTTTAGCTTTCTTCCTTGGCTGTTCTTATGCCTGTATTTTCTGCTAAGCCATTTATAAAGGCTTTCATCAATTCCCCAAAGACTCAGTTTTTGCTCCACAAAAGAAGGCACTCAAGAATAATTCCTCAGTGATTAGTATTTGAGAATTAGTTCTTCAGTAGTAGGTACCAGAAGGGCAGGGAAGAGAAGCAAGCTTCTAGAGCCCCAAGATCCCAACCTCAGCTCAGGGCCCCAAGGAGGAGTTACAGGCAGGCTAGACAGAAAAGGATCAGTTTGAGTGCCCATGGTAGGAATAAGTAGCCTGGCACTGAGAATTACCATTGGTTCAGCAAAAGATGTTCAAGTCTCTTTTTCTGGTCAGAACTATCTTTCCCAAAGCAATGACTGTTTTTGCTACCATGCCCTTTATTAAAAATAGGAGTATGAGCATGGGAACAAGCATAACATTTTTAAAGCAAGAGATGGTAAAGGGAAAAATAATTTCAGCACTGTGCTCCAGATCAGTGTGGCAAAAAACAAATTAACAGATACTCCCAAGCAGCTGAGTCTGCAGGAGAGGAGCTGGTGGGAAAGAACTCCAGCATTGCCTTAGCATCAGCAACAAAAGCTCAATTCACCAGAAACAGGAAGCCCCTGCCTTACCTTAATGCCCACAGTGGGAGACCAGGTAAAGCACCAGTCAAGCCTCATCTTGTGTCCATAGAACAAGGGAAGAGGGAATACACAGCTTTGCCAGATGCACTGGACACATAGCAGGTGTGGCAATGAGGTTATCCTTTTATTTGCCTTTGAGGCTGGGACCAAAGACCACCATCATTACCATATTGTACTCAGAACAGACTTCAAAAAACAGTAAAATTTCGTCCTTTTCCCTGGCATCAGGAGAAGAGGGGAATTCCTTTAACATAGGGCCTTCCCATGAATTACTGGTCAATTCTCCTAATATCCTATGGCAATGGGCTTGCTAGGCATGAGTAAACTTTGAGCTATAGGTTACCTTTTAGGGTTATTGTCCCTTGCTTCCCATTCATAGCTGCCACATGGTTTACACACACAATTTTTTTTCAGAGCCAGGGTCTCCCTCTGTCACTCAGGCTGAAGTGCAGTGGTGTGATCATAGCCCATGGCAGTCTTGAACTCCTGGGCTCAAATGATCCTCCTGCCTCAGCCTCCCAAGTAAATGGGATTATAGGCATGCACCATCATGCCCAGCTGACTTTTTTTTTTTTAAATGGAATTTTGCTCTTGTTGCCCAGGCTGGAGTGCAACACCGTGATCTTGGCTCACCACAACCTCCACCTCCCAGGTTCAAGTGATTCTCCTACCTCACATCCCAAGTAGCTGGGATTACAGGCATGCGCCACCACACCCAGCTAATTTTGTATTTTTAGTAGAGACAAGGTTTCTCCATGTTGGTCAGGCTGTTCTCAAACTCCCAACCTCAGGTGATCCACCTGCCTCGGACTTCCAAAGTTCTGGGATTATAGGCATGAGCCACCACACCCGGCCTCCAGCTGACTTCTATGTTCTTTTTTTTTTTTTTTTGAGATGAAGTTTCACTCTTGTCACACAGGCTGGAGTGCAGTGGTACAATCTCTGCTCACCGCAACGTCTGCCTCCCGGGTTCAAGCGATTCTCCTGCCTCAGCCTCCCAAGTAGCTGGGATTACAGGCATTTGCCATAATGCCCAGCTAATTTTGTATTATTTTAGTAGAGATGGGATTTTACCATGGTGGCCAGGCTGGTCTCAAACTCCTGACCTCAGGTGATCTACCCATCTCGGCCTCCTAAAATGCTGGGGTTATAGGCGTGAACCACTGCACCTGGCCTGACTTCTATATTCTTAAATCAAGAAGGGACCAAAGACCACCATCAATGGTCTTAAATATGAAGAAGGGGACTCAGATAAGTAGAATGATGGTTGCCAGAGGCTGGGAAGAGAGGAGATGGAGAGTTATTGTCTAAAGGGTATAGATGTAGAGTTTGTTTTACAAGGTGAAAAGAGTTACAGGGATGGATAGTCATGATAGTTACGCAGTATTACTGAATGTATTTGATGCCACTAAACTGTACTTCAAGATGGTTAAGATGGAAAATTTTTGTTTTACAACAATTGAAAAGGGAAAAAAATAAAAAGAGAGAAGGGAGTGGCAAAAACAGATCATTCTTTGCTCAATCTTTAAGCATTTTGCTTCTGGTTTTAGTGTATAGAGGTAATTTTTCAGCAATGTAAGCTACTTAAAAGCCATCATTTTATGTAACTCGTGGTTTAAAATTTTAGTGTAACAGTGGTGCTCTCTAGTGACCAGCAGAGTCTTTTTCTTCCCTTGCATTTGATAAGCAGTGGGAAGAGAGGGGAGAATGTGGTAAGAAGACAAAGCAAGAAGGAAATCTAAGAAGTCATTTGGGAATCTGGAACAAAAAAGACTAAGTTTGTTTTCAGAGGGATGTGTACCTAGCACGCAGTCAGCTGGAAGGAGAAGGGGAAAAGAGCACTCTTGCAGGTGCACCCTGGGGGCGGTGACAGCAACACAGAGACAATGTGGGCGGCAAATCAAGGTGAGGGCAAGGTCAGTAGGGGTGGGGGAAGGCAGGGTTGGCTTCAGTCTGAAAATTGCTCAGGCAGTGTTAGTTTCTCGTGCCACCACACAATCAATGCAGTTGTTCCACCCCACTCCTTGAGGCCCCTCAGGCTTACATTCACATTCCTCCCAAGAAAAAACATTAGTAGAGATTAAATGACCCCATTTGTGGATGGGAGGGGGAGGTTTATTGTTGTAATTATTAAACATGCTAAAATCACAGAGTGGCTATTCCATTTTTGCCCTGACTCCAATCCACGGTGGGGCAAATGGGAACTACAGGAGTCACTTGGTTTGTATGGTCTCTGGGGATGGCTAGACGGGAAATAGAGCCAGGCAGGTTAGCAAAGCCCCAAGAATCCTTCATGTAGTACCCTTTTCCCAGCAATAACATGTTTCAGAGATTTCCCCTCCTTCATTTTTTTTTTTTTTTTTTTTGAGATGGAGTTTTGCTCTTGTTGCCCAGGCTGGAGTGCAGTGGCACAATCTCAGCTCACCGCAACCTCCACTTCCTGGGTTCAAACAATTCTCCTGCCTCAGCCTCCTGAGTAGCTGGGATTACAGGCATGTACCATTACGCCCAGCTAACTTTGTATTTTTAGTAGAGATGGGGTTTCTTCATGTTGGTCAGGCTGGTCTCGAACTCCCCACCTCAGGTGATCCACCCAACTCAGCCTCCCAAAGTGCTGGGATTACAGGTGTGAGCCACCGTGCCCAGCCCCACTTCTTCACTGTTTTCTTTCCTCCCTATATCTACCTTACTTCTCATTCCCCTGCCTGTGGCCCTGGAACCTCTTCTGCTTCTGCCCCTTATGGTCCTAGACTAGATGATGAAAGAGCTTTTTCCTTGACACCACCATTCCAGTCTCCCTTCCTTGGAACTAATCTATTTAGCATGCACTACGTGGTAAGCTGCTGGATTGAGGTCTGCTTAGGGAGAAAGGGAGGCCCCCATCCCCACTGTGGCTTAGATCCTGGGAGGGGAAGTTGGAGTTGGTGCAGAAGGATCTGAAAGGGAAAAAAAATGTTACCTGAAGTGTAAATGCTGTAACTAGCAGAACAGTGCATATGTCCCACCCTCAGGTACCCTACTTTGAAGGCCTTCCCCCCCTTCTCACATTGTGGTTGGGGAGCTCTCTCAGCCTCAGAGCCTCTTGTTCAACTCTACAGGGCAGGCATCGCTACTGATCAAAGAACCTTATCCCAAGAAGAAACTGTTCCACCCTTAGACAAGTGGCTGCTGATTGAAGTCTTCATCTTCTCCACCTCTTTTGTGCCTCTACTTCTGTGATGGCTTAAGGGGGCCAGATACAAGAATATATAAGGGTTGAACTTGCCTCAAGGAAAGGCTGGAGGGACAAGGGACAAAGATGCACAGGAGTCAGGGCTGTGAAGAAGGGGAGAAAAGGGGCCAGGGTGAAGGTGAAGGGCAAGGCTGGCCATTCAGGAGCTGGGATCCTTTTTCCTTTTCTGAAATCGCCGAAACTTGCCCTGAATAGCAAGGGCAGCCTTCTCTGTTTCTGGTGCTGTCAGATCAATGTCAATCTCCTCCTCCTCCTCCGCCTTCTTGGCATTGCCAGCTTTTCCTGCAGATAGTTGGGAGACTCATTAATGAGTTAACCTGACCTGCTCCAGCCCCTTACTCCAGGCCCCCAATACAGTGGGGTGAGGTCCATTTTGTACCAGGCTCTGTGGGGTCCCCCAATTTTTGCTAGGACTATGAATGCCTCATAATGCCTCTAGAAGTTTGAGTCAAGGTACTTAGGCTGGGAATTAGCTATAGTTACTTAGAGGAGTTCTGCTACTCTTGAAACAAATAACAAATGTCTTCTTTTATCACTTATTCATAAATCGTACAGTTCAAGTCCCAAAGCACACTCACTTTCCTCAGCTTTCCCTCAATTTCTGATGGAGATAATGCTGGGACTTTTGATAAGTTTCTTCTTACCTTGTACCCCTCTCCCCCAACACTCCAGACCCAGTTTCTAAAATCAAAGAGTAAATACTATAGGTTTACTTACTAGGGAAAATAGAAGGAAGTCTGTAGATACAGTACTATAGTTCTAACCTAGTCCTTTGTTTCACTTATCCATGTTCTTATTCCTTTCATGCCTGGCTTTAGGAAATTCCAGACTCTTTCTACTTGTCTTCATGTCTCTACAGTTACCTGCTCTATAAACAGCCTAGCCCAACCCTACTCACCTTTTTCCTCTGGGCCAGCTGCCTGGTTGGTTGCTGGAGATGTTTCGGTATTAAGCTGGAAAAAAAATCAGAATATCAAAATATTAGATATTCATGGAAGTATTTTGAAGGTGCCATCACCTTAGACCTCTTATATACTCTCAAGCCCTCCTATTACCAGGTGCATTCCCTTAGTCTTTTGAAGAAGTGAGTCTGGAGATCAGAGACCAGACAAAAAGTCACCAAAATTTATTCAACAAAGATTTATTGATGCTAGAAAGTGTAGAGGACAAAACAGACAAAGAAATTCTGCCCTCATGGAGCTTACATTCCAGTATATACAGAGACAAATAAATAAAGCACACAAAATGACTACTATGATGATAAGTGCTATGGAGAAAAGGGAAGGAAAGGAGGTAGTAAGTACTGGGGTGGAAATCGAAGAATACAGTTTTACACAGAGTAGTCAGGAAAATCTTCTCTGAAAAGCAGCATTTGACCAAAGAGCTGAAGGAGATGAGGAAGTAAGGCTCATAGATATCTGGCTGGAGTTTTCAAGGGTTCTGGGTTGGAAGTGTGACTAGTCTGTTTGCGGAATAGCAGACCAGCATAGCTGGAGTGGAGAGACGAAGGAGGAAAGATTAATGGAGATGAGAACATAATTAACTGGGGGTGGAAGCAGATTATGTAGGGCTTTAGAAGTCTTTTTAAGGAGTTTGACTGTTACTACAAGTGAGATGAGAGGTCACTGGTGACCTCTGATTTGCATAAAAGGGATATGAGAAAGGAGGCAGAAAAGTCCATTAAGAGGGTATTGCAGAAAACCAAGCAAGAAACGATGGTAGCTTGAATCAGCATGGTGGCAGTGAAGATGGTAAATGATTGGATCCTAGGTATATTTTCCAGCTATAACCAATATGATTTGTTGATTCAAAAAATGGCATTGTGAGAAAGAGAAAGGTCAAGGATGATTCCAAATTTTGGCCTGATGATCTGAAAAAAATAGAGTTGCCATTTCCTGAGATGTAGAAAAAAGGGAGAGGAGGTTTTAGGGGGAGGATAAGGAGCTTATTTTTAACAAGTTTGAGATGACTATTAATTATCCAAGAAAAATGCTTTTATAAACAATTGAATATTTGAGTTAAAAAAGAAGGTCATGGGCTACAGATATAAATTAGGGAGCTATTGGTATATGGATAGCTTTTAAAACCATGAGACTGAATGGGATCATCAAGAAAGTGAGTTCAGATAGAGAAGAGGATCAAATCCTAAGGCATCCCACTGATTAGAACTGCAGAAATGAAGAAAAATCAACACGATAGAGAAGAGCCAGGTAGGAGAAAAGCCAAGAGATTACAGTAATGTAGGAGCCATGTGAAGAAAACATTTCCGGGAGTAGAGAATGACTATGTCTAATTCTGCAGGCAAGTCAAGTAAGATGAGAATGGGATTGACCATTGAGTTTTGCTTGGTTTTTTTTTTTTTTTTTGAGACGGAGTTTCGCTCTTGTTACCCAGGCTGGAGTGCAATGGCGCGATCTCAGCTCACCGCAACCTCCACCTCCTGGGTTCAGGCAATTCTCCTGCCTCAGCCTCCTGAGTAGCTGGGATTACAGGCACGCGCCACCATGCCCAGCTAATGTTTTGTATTTTTAGTAGAGACGGGGTTTCACCATGTTGACCAGGATGGTCTCGATCTCTTGACCTCGTGATCCACCCGCCTCGGCTTCCCAAAGTGCTGGGATTACAGGCTTGACCCACCGCGCCCGGGCCGACCGTTGAGTTTTGCTGTGGGGAGATCACTGGTGGCATTGATAAGAGAAGTTTCCATGAAGGAGGGGAGCAAGAGGAGGGAATGATTGTAATGGGCTCAAGAGGACAAAGGAAGAGAGAAATTGCAACAGCAAATATAGACATAATTCCAAAAACGGGGATGGGAGTATAACATTTGGTGGATATGGAGGTCACAAGATCTTATTTAAGATGACAGAATTACAAAATGTTTGTGTTCTTATGGAAATGATCCAGTAGGCAAGTCAAAACTGTAGGAGAGAAAGAGGATCATTACTGGAATAGGAGAGAGGGGATGAAATCTAATGCATCAGTAGGTGGCTGGCCTTGAATAGGAGCCAGACTAGGATACCCACAGGAACTGGAGGGAAGGCAGCACTTAGGGACCCAGGTGTAAGCACAGGAAACATTTGGAGGGTCTCCTTAATTGTTTTTATTTTTTGAAGTAAAATGTGTAACAAAGTCATCATCCAAGAGGAGGAAGAAAGAGGTATTAAAGGAAGGTAGAAAGAAGGTATAAAATACTAATCTAGGAGAGTAAATGGACTAGGGAACAGTGATAGGGTTGCTGGGGACATTAAGGCCCCTTATAAGGCAGGAGATCATGAATTTGAAGTGAGACTAATCAGGTGATATGTATGCTTTTTTCTAGGTTCCCTGTTCAGATGGAAAGTTAAATTAAACATAATAGTAAGGTCAGGTACAGTGGCATACAGCTGTAGTCTCAGCTACTCAGGAGGATCCCTTGAGCCTAGGACTTCAAGGCCAGTCTGGCAAGACATAGAAAGACCCTAGCTCTTTAAAAAAAAAAAAAAAAAAAAAAAAAAAAAAAATAATTCTCCTTCCTCAGAATCATATTAATAAGACTACTTCATCTGGACATTCATCGGTCTCAAAATATGCTTCATCTGCAGACAGTCACTCCTGAGCTTGGTATCTTTGGAGCCTGTTTATTCACTTCAAAATTTTGAGTACTTTATATTTAACAAAATACAAAAACTGAGTGCTTTCATAAAGGTTTTCTCATCTAATTCTTGGAACAGCTTGGTGGACTATTTAGGATTACCCTCCCACCATTTTAGAGATGTAAACCTTTGTTGAATGACTGCCAGATATAAGGGTTCTGCTTTACGAAGCTGATGGAATCCAATTTATGTTCTGTAGATTATGCTGTTTCCACCCTATTTCTTTTTTTTTTTTTTTTTTTTTTTGGAGAAAGAGTTTCTCTTTTTTTCCCCAGTTGGGGGGGCAATGGCACGATCTCGGCTCACCGCAACCTCCGCCTCCTGGGTTCAGACAATTCTCCTGCCTCAGCCTCCTGAGTAGCTGGGATTACAGGCACGCGCCACCATGCCCAGCTAATTTTTTTGTATTTTTAGTAGAGACGGGGTTTCACCATGTTGACCAGGATGGTCTCGATCTCTTGACCTTGTGATCCACCCGCCTCGGCCTCCCAAAGTGCTGGGATTACAGGCTTGAGCCACCGCGCCTGGCCTCCACCCTATTTCAATACTTATCAAGCACCTACTTGTGTTCAGCACTGTTCTATATGCTAAAGCGGTATAAAAGCAAAAAAATACATTCAACAAGTATGTCAGTGCCTAATCACATGCCAAGTATTATTCTAGGCATTGGGCATACAGCAGTGAGCAAAAGAAAGTCCCTGCACTCATTCAACAAATACATCAGTTAGCAAAATATCATAAAAGAAAATAAAGCAGAGTAGTCAAGTCTCTCTGAAGACTGACATTTGAGTAGAGGCTTTAATGATATATAAGAACAAACTATGTAAATGTCTGGGAAAAGATCCTCTGGGCAGATGAAATATCAGTGGAAAGTCCCTGAAGCAGGTTTGTGCCTATATGCTCAAGGAAGAGAGGAAAAAAAAAAAAAAAAAAACCATCATGGGCCAGCTACAGTGGCTCACGGCTGTAATCTCAGCACTTGAGGAGGCCAAGGTGGGTGGATTGCTTGGGTCCAAGAGTTCAAGACTAGCCTGGGTAACAAGGTGAAATACAATCTCTACAAAAACTAACCAAACATGGTGGCGTGCACTTGTGGCCCCAGCTACTTAGGAGGCTGAGGTGGGAGGAAGTGAGCTTGGAAGGCGGAGGTTGCAGTGAGCTGAAATTATGCCACTGCACTTCCAGCCTGAGTAACAGAGTGAGAGAATTGGAAGGGTAGAGGAAAGAGAAAGGGAGACTATCATGGCTGAAGCTATGTAAGGGAGAGAATATATGAAATAAGGTGAGGTAGATAGCCAGAATATGTGTCTTTAAAACAGGGCAAAGAATTTAGATTTTTTTATAAGTTGATAAAAAGGGCATTATACATTTTGGGGCAGAGGAAAACATGGTCTGTCATATTTTTAAAGGCTTGTTCTGACAGATGCATAGAAAAAAGACTGGCTGGGTATGGTGGCTCATGCCTATAATCCCAATACTTTGGGAAGCTGAGGTAGGAGGAGCACTTGAGCCCAGGAGTTCATGACCAGCCCAGGTAACATAGTGAGACCCCATCTTTATGAAAGAAAGAAAGAAAGAAAAAAGAAAGAAAATAGAGGAGCAAGAGAGAAACCAGGGAAAACAATTAAGAGGGTCTTGCAGCTAGGTGTGGTGGCTCATGCCTGTAATCCCAGCATTTTGGGAGGCCGAGGTGGGTGGATCACAAGGTAAGGAGTTCAACACTAGCCTTACCAACATGGTTAAACTCTCTCTCTACTAAAAATACAAAAACTAGCTGGGTATGGTGGTGCGTGCCTGTAATCCCAGCTACTCAGGAGACTGAGGGAGGAGAATTGCATGAACCCAGGAGGTGGAGGTTGCAGTCAGCAACCTGCCACTGCACTCCAGCCTGGGTGACAGAGCACGACTCTATCTTGAAAAAGAAAAGTCGGGGTAGGGGGGTCTTGCAGTGGTACAAACAAGCAAGATGATGGGGCTTGGACTAGGGTGGTAGTGATGAAGATAATAGGAAGTATTAAAATAAGTTGGATCTGCCCGTACATTTTTGAGCAGAGAGAGCTCTATCAAAGAGACTTTCTTTAAAGGACAGCAGAGAAATTGGACATTAGTTGGAGATGAATGTGGGGTTATGAGAGGGTTTGGTCAGATGGGAGATTTTAAATGCTGATGGAAACAATTTAGTAAGGAAGAAAAAAGCTGATGATGCAGGAGAGGGGACAATTACCGGAGTGATGTCTTGAACCGGCAAGAGGAAATAGATCTGGTGCGTAAGTGGAGGGGTTGCCCTTAGATAGGTATATAGACAGTTTACCTACAATATA